GAGACGGATGGACAGAGACGGATGGACAGAGACGGACGGACAGAGACAAAGAGACAGAGATAAAGACAGACACAGAGATAAAGACAGACACAGAGATAAAGACAGACACAGAGATAAAGACAGACACAGAGATAAAGACAGACACAGAGATAAAGACAGACACAGAGATAAAGACAGACACAGAGATAAGACAGACACAGAGACAGATAGAGACAGTGATAGACAGACCCTAAACTTGGGGTTAACATAACTTTCCTCTTAAAAGGGGAGTGTTAATATGACATTACATCAGCGAATCCTTGATGTTTGCTGTACTGTTTGCTCGAACTGGCACTCAATTTAACTGGCACTCCCACAAGGTACTAAGTGGTCCCAGATTTTTTTTAATATGGTGCACACTGAGTGTTAAAACCCACTCTATGCTGACCAGGCATCTCAGGCCAGTCGTGCCAAATTTGGAGGCAGGAAAATTAAAACGTATATATACATTTGGGGCGCTAGTGGTAAGAACATATATATATACACCTACCATCCGACTTACGACCTGCTCGACTTACGACCACTCGACTTACAACCGTGTTTTTTATGCCAGATTTCTGGGAAATAAACAACTATTTGTGTTGTACACAGTGTTTATCCTAAACCTTACAGTATAAAATACAGTACTAACAACATAAAAAGTAAAGTAAAACATGAAATACCAAAATAAAGCAATAAAAGTCATTACAAAAATGTTTTGTTGATATTCAGTAGTAAAGTTCGACTTACGACCATTTCGACTTACGACCGGTTTCTCAGAACCGAACTCGGTCGTAAGTCGGATGGTAGGTGTATATGTTTAGACCATTTAGGGGTTAATTCTCCTCATTAACTTCACATCATCTGCAAACAGGGATACTTCTGAGTCTATCCCTTCCATCATGTCATTCATATACCATAAGCAACACTGGTCCTAGGACTGACCACTGTGGAACCCTGCTCATCACACTCACTATGTCGAAGACCTTTTTGCAATCCAAGAAAATGCAGTCTACCCACCCCTCTCTCTCATGTCTTCCATTACTCCTGGTATACTCCAGGTTGCCATAAAACTTTGGTAGATTTGTGACATAGGATTTCCCTTCCCTGAAACCGTGCTGGTTGTCATTTATATGCTTGCTCCTTTCTAGGTGCTCCACCACTCTCCTCCTTATAATCTTTTCCATGACTTTGCATGCTATACCATACTATACTATTCCATGACTTTGCATACTATACACGTCAGTGACACTGGTCTGTAGTTTAATGCCTCATGTCTGTCTCCTTTCTTAACCCTGTCAGTGTTGGTCCAATAATATTATGGCTTGAGAGCTAGTGTCGGTCCCATAATACTACTACTTCAAATCTGGTGGAAGAAAGCTTTTAGGCCTACATATGAAAGAATGGGTCCACGTGGTCAGTGTGCACAGTATAAAAAAAATCCTGCAGCCCGCAGTGCATAATGAGAAAAAAAACCTGACCAAGTTTTTGGTTTAAAACCAACTTTGCAGTGTATTTTCGTATGGTATTTATGGTTGTATTTTTGTTTTCTTGGTCTCGTTTGATAGAATGGAAGTTATATTGCAGAAATGGTGATGATTTTGATTGGTTTCACTATGAAAAGTACCTTGAAATTGAGCTCAAAGTAGTGGAAATGTTCGATTTTTGCCGATGTTCAAGAAGAAACAAATGATGTCACTGGCCAGTCTAACACACAGTCATGAATGGGTTGACATTATTTATACACTTATCATAATGCAGTAGTCTGCATAACAGTAAATCTTCTATTTTTTGTGAGAATAAAAATTCAAAATGGAAAGCAAGAGCAATGTGAGAGGCCTGGAGACGTGACTAATGAACAGAAATTTTTTATTTTAGTGCCAGGAATGTCTGCCTTGTTTATTCTGGACCCTGTTTTGAAGTTGGCATCTTTTGAAATTTGTGTGAAATTGGCCAAATTGCCAATTTCTGACCACTTTATTGGGTAGTTGAAATTGGTAAATGGGCTGTTTCTTGTACTCAATCGATAGAACAAGTGGAGTTCTAGCGAAGTAGCTATGATTTTAGTTGACTGGAACAATGGAATTGGCCAAAAATAGGGCTCAAATTGGGAGAAATCGCTGATGAGTAAATATCCTCGAGATCGCTAACTTCTCGAGTGCATAATTTCGTAAGTTTTCCATCAAATTTCGTACTTTTGGTGTCATTATCATCGGGAAAAGATTTTCTATCATTCATAAGACAAAATAATTTTTTTATAATTTTTCGACACTGAGTTAAGGATCAGGGGTCTTGACACTGAAAGGGTTAAAAATTGAGACTACATTTGCCATCTTCCATATCTTGGGTAGTTGCCCAGTTTCACTGGATGTTTTAAAGATTGTTAATGGCACACACAGCATCTCTGCTCCCTCTCTAAGGACCCATGGAGAGATGTCTGGTCCCACTGCCTTTGATGCATCATGTTCACGTAGCAGCTTCTTCACCTCCTCCTCGGTAGTATTTCATCCAGCGCTTGTTCGTATATCCCTTGTTGGTGGTGTATCCCCATATTCTGACTTTGCGGAGTAATTTTTGTCTTCACTGTAAATACTTCTTTAAATCTCATGTTGAGCTCCTCACATGCTTCTTGGTCGTTTCTTGTGAGCTCCCTACCTTTCTTCCTCAACCTGATTACCTGGTCCTTGACTGTTGGTTTTCCTCCTGATGTGACTATACAACAGCTTCGGGGTGAACATTCATTTCAATGCTATATCATTTTTGTATTGTTGCTGGGCCTCTCCCCTTATCTGTGCATACTCGTTTCTGGCTTTTCGATTATTCTCTGTTTTCCTGGGTCCTTTGTCTTTTGTACTTCTTCCATTCTCAGTTGCACTTAGTTTTTGCCTCCCTACACCTTTTGGTGAACCAAGGGCTCATTCTAGGTTTCCCATTATTTCTGTTGTTTTTGGGAACAAATCTCATCTCTGCTTCCTTGCATTTTGTTGTCACGTAGTCATTTCATTTACTGATTTTCCTACCAGTTCTCTTTCCCGCTGAACCTCTTGCAGGAAGTTCCTTGTGTCTGTGTAGTCCCTCCTTTTGTAATTTGGCTTTTCAAACCCTACTCCTGTTACCCTCTCAACTTGTAACTCTACTATGTATTCAAAGCTCAGAACCACTTGATCACTTTTGTATATCGAGGACATCACATGTGATGTCCTCAATATCCAAACTACTCGAGGTGTATATGAGGTTCAGTCTTGCTGGTTCATCCTCACCCCTCACTGGTAGTGTGTCTAACATGTTGATGCATGAGGTTTTTCAGTACCACTTCCATCATCTTGGCTCTCCATGTTTTGGGACCCCCATGTGGCTCCAGGTTTTCCTAGTCTATCTCCTTGTGATTGAAATCACCCATAACTAGTAACTTTGCTCTACCCATGTGAGCTCTTCTGGCCACCTCAGCTAGTGTGTCCACCATTGCTTTGTTGCTCTCTTCATATTCTTCTCTTGGCCTCCTGCAGTTCTGTACCTCACTGCAATTACCACCTTAGGGCCCCCAGACAGAATTGTTCCTACTATGTAGTTCCTGTCTCCCATTCTGTCCATTCCTTCCGCCGCCTTGAATCCTCACTGGATTTTAGTGAACAGTGCAACTCCTCCTCCCCCTCTGCTCCCTCTATCTTTCCTTAGGATCTGATATCTGGGTGGAAAGATTGTTATCTCTGTGAATTTCGTTTCTGTGAGTGCTGTCATGTCCGGGGACATCTGATTCTTTCATGCCAGTCCTCACATTTATTTGTTATTCCGTCCACATTTGTGCACCAAACCTTCAATTTCTTTTCTAAAACTGTGGTCTGGGGAGTATATTGGGGTTGGGGAATCGGGAGACCTGGCAAGGAACTATGGTGGGTTGCTGTGAAGGTGGAATTTGTAGGGTGGGGGCAGTGGGGGGCACAGTGTGTGGGTTTTGGGTTAGATTGTTTGGTTACATTGGGATTGTCGGGGTTGAGGGCCTTCTGTAGGCGGTCTTGAGGGAAGTTGTATTTGCTCTTCCTCCTGAGTCTGGGTTCTTCCCATCTCCATCTTTGCCTCTCTTTCCTCCTTGCATCTTAGTACCCTCTCTTTCAGTTTCCTGCCTTTTTTCTCATGCACTGTCGCAATCAAGGTACACCCTCCGGTACGCCAATATGTCTCAAGCCGATTCTGCCTTGAAAGTCACTGACTGGCAAACCCCCCATTCTCAGAAAATTGTCAGCTGGGTCATGTCCTCTCCTATTGCTTTCATGATACTTTCAATTGCTTTTTTCTTCCCCTGTCTTCTTGCTTCGTAAGTTTACCCTTCAACTTCCTGGAGCCCATAAACAAAGACTGACCTCTCCCTTTCATTCTCCCACTGCATTTCCCTTTGTATCCCCTGATTCAATTTAATTACCTTCATCACAGCTTTCCTTTCATTTCATTTCCTTTCTGATGTCCCTGTGTCCATTGGTCTGTCATTTTCCCTTCTTAGCTTTTCCTGAGCACCGCTGTGGTCTGTTAGGGCCTCTGCGCAAAGCTTAGTTCTTTTATTTTCTTCAGTGCCTCAAGTTCACTTATAAAATTATGGCTGTCCCCACACTTATGTGGCACAGTGCAAATTGTAAATCACTTCGGGCGTTGTTCACTATCCTGACACACTTAATGACCCCTGCAGTAACCTTGGGTAGCCCGCAAACGTTTAAATTCAATTCACGGAGCACTAAGGTTGTGACTCACGCATGCGTGTCCCTACTGTGTGTGTGTGTGTGTGTGTGTGTGTGTGTGTGTGTGTGTGTGTGTGTGTGTGTGCGCGCGCGCGTGCATGCGCAATCATATACTTGTCCAGTTGTGTTTACTGGAGTCGAGTCCTAGCTCCTGTGTATATGTGTACACCCCAGTAGTCAGTTAAAAATATATTTTTCGTAATGATGTCATGTTTGTCAAGTTTAATAACGTGAGTTTGGGTTCTATTGTTGCAGGAGTGAGGTGTGAGGTGAAGCGTGATGGCATAATGGCGTCAGGCAAGGACCGGAGGGGCTACGAGCACGAGTCTTCCAGTGACACTGATAACCCGGACTCTGATGACCGACGACCCAGGCCTTACAGGAACCGCTTTGGGTATGTCCTTATTGAGTTAGTGTTTTATGTAGCAAACTTGTGTACACCAGCAGTGTGCTGCTTTGTGTATTTGTAAATACTTTGGGGCCACTGTAGTTTATCATGTGATTTGTCACTTCCTGATGCTCTCAGTTCTCCCTTTCAAGCACTCACTATTTATCACTTTTCTGCGCTCTCAGCTGTATGCCAGCTTGCCTGGAGGGTGTTATGAGGGCCAGGGACCCTTCGGCTAGTCCTAGACCAGGCCATCCAGTGGTTCAAGGCCTGATCAACCAGGCTGTTACTGTTGGCCACACACAGTCCAACATATGAACCACAGTCCTGATGATCATTAACTAACTTGCTTTTGAAGAGGGCAAGGGGTTTATGTGATGGGAGGCTGTTGAATCGTCTCGGGCCTCTTACACTTATTGTGTTCTCTCAGCGTATTCACAGCGCCCCTACTGTTTATTCGGGGTATGTTGCACTGCCCATCAAGCCTCTTGATTTTGTGGGGAGTGATTTCAATATGCAGATTTGGGACCAGTGTAAATTATTTTGTATCTCTGTTGCCTGCATTCTAAAGACTATACATATGTCAAAGGACTTCAAACATTCTCAATAATTAAGGTGCTTGACTGAACTTGTATATGCAGAGAAGGTTCTCTGTACATTCTTTAGGTCTGCAGTTTTGCCTGCCTTGAAAGGGGAATCTTAATGTTCAGCATTATTCTGGCCTAGTGAGAATAAATGACTAAAAGAGGATCATCATTGGCTTGGCATTTGTTTTGAAGGTTCTCATTATCCATCCTATAATTTGCCTCGTGGTTGTGAGCATTGAAAGCAAGATCCTTTAACATTATCACTTCTAAACTCTTCACATTAGTTTTTCGCTCTGTTGAATTGTTAGAATTAGATTTATACTTCATTCTAGCTTTGATTTCCGTAAGTTTTCCATAACAGAGTAACTTAAAATCTGCCCTCATTAAACATAATATTTTCTGCGACCCACAGAAAGACTTGATTGATATCTGCTTGGAGATTCACATTGTAGTCAGTGGATGACTCATCCTTGCAAATTCTAGTATCGTTTGCCAAGGATAATTATGGTGCTATGATTTAAATCTCTCTCTATCAGATATAGGGGTAAGAAAGAGGATGTTGCAAGCACTGTGCCCTGAGGAACGAGCTCTTCACTGTGGCAGTATCTGACTTAACTCTGTTTACTATTAGTCTTAGTGTTCTGTTCATTAGATTGTTAAAAATCCATCTGCTCACCTTTTCAGTTATTCCTTTTTGAACGCATTTTGTTCTTTTGGACCATAGTCGCACTAGTCAAAGACTTTACAAAATCTTTGCATACTACATCTGCATCCAAGACCATGTCGGTGTTCTAGTAGTTGGGAAAGGCAGGAGCGACTTGCTCTAAACTCATGCTGCCTGGGTTGTGCAGCTGTTGGGAAGAGGTTAGTGATTTTGCTTCTTTTAACTCCCAGAATTTTTCATAATGTGGGACATTAGAGTTATTGGTCAATAATTTTTTGCTCTTGCGTTGCTGCGACCTTTGTGGGGTGGGGCTATATGCATTGTTTTTAAAGACTCTGCAGTGACCTTCGTGTCTAGGATCCCATTCCATAGAATATTTAAGATCCACACTTACTACTGTGCAATCTACATCTACAGGACCTTAAATTCCAATATTAACCTTGACCTAAAACGCTTTCTTGATGGTTGTGACAGAACCCACAGGCACAACACCAGACACAAACATCTCTATGACATTCCCCGTGTCCGACTAAACCTTTACAAAAATTCAATGTATGTCAAAGGCCCTAAAATCTGGAACACCCTACCTGAAAATTCCAAAACTGCAGACACATTCATCACCTTCAAAACTACCATCAGAAAACATCTTATCTCCCTGATACATCCTGTCAACTAATAATACGAACACCACCTGGTGGTTCACACTTACACTCACTCACCCATTTGACCATAAACAGAAATATCAATCTCAATCTCAAAATAATGAATCTTAACTAGTCAAAAGTTGAACATTAAAATGGTATAAAATACCGACAGATTGTTAGGTAAGACACATATGCAACAGTTAGGTATCTTTATTTCGAAACGTTTCGCCTACACAGTAGGCTTCTTCAGTCGAGTACAGAAAAGTTGATAGAAGCAGAAGATACTTGAAGACGATGTAATCAGTCCATCACCCTTAAAGTTTTGAGGTGGTCAGTCCCTCAGTCTGGAGAAGAGCATTGTTCCGTTGTCTGAAACAATATGAAGTTGAAGTGACAGAATGGGGCCTTATATAGTGCCAGGAGGTGAGACGTAGGTTGCTTTGGGAGGGCAGGTCCATCTCAAACCCAGCCGTTCTCACTAGTAGAGGTTGTCGAAGTTGATGGTCTGTACCAAGATACCCTTGTGTTGCAGTGTCTGACAGAATGAACATTAAAATGGTATAAAATACCGACAGATTGTTAGGTAAGACACATATGCAACAGTAGGCGAAACGTTTCGAAATAAAGATACCTAACTGTTGCATATGTGTCTTACCTAATAGTCAAAAGTTGGCCTGTGATACTCCAATACTGAAACTATGTATAGTGCCAAAACAAAAGCATTCACATTGCTAAACTCACAACTAGTATTTAGTCACTTAGCCATAATACCAAATTATCTGATAATTCTGTAACATTTTAAACCTAAGATTTAATATAAGTCTGCCCGAAATGCCTTTCACATTTCATATAGCCTGGGACCCTTGAAAAGTTATTATATATCGTACCAAATCATCAATATTTGTGAAAATAAAGCAGTTTTTTTTCAGTCTAATTGGCTCTAATATTTACTGGCTTAGAGCGAATTTATTAGTTTCAATAGTTCATTTGTGTGAGAATGTTCCTTTGAGCTGCCTCATGGAATTATCTCTGCTGTTACACGTTTTTGCTAAATTATTCCATTTAATTTTAAATGTCTTATATTGAAATCAAGCAATAAGATATTTGGTACTGGGGTTGAAAGATTTTCCTGTGTTCACTTTTCAATAGTTGTTCATTGAACTGTTGGGAAGTTTTATCTGGCGACTTATATACAACCACGGTGACTAAGTGTTGCTCTTTACTGCCAAAACTTCCACTAAAACATTTGTGGAATTTAGTAACTGTGCAAATGAGCGACTCTGACATATAGGCCCGTTCCCCACCTTGTCTGCTTCCTCAGTAGCATCTAAACAAGTTGTACTAAGATATTACTTTTCATTGTCAAAGTGGTGTTTTGTGTGGGTCTTTGTGCAAGCTGCAAACATTGCATTTGCGAGGAGTCCACTGATAAAAAATATTTTGCTTTTGGTAGATGATTTAAGGCCCTATATGTTTGCAAAGACAAGGGATGTATATATTGTTTGTAGGGGGATTTTTTTATTGGTATTAATGTCTGTGATTCTTGATTAGAGGCCACTGACTGTGCCTTTTTCAAGAATTCACTTAAGTTCAGCCCCTGATATTTCTGCAGATAAAATGCTCTACACTGAGAACTTGGCCACCTTGTTATATATATTAGTTATACAGTAGGAACAAAAGGTGTGTCTGTGTCGTATTACATCACACAGGGTGCGTCATGTACATAGTGTTGAAATAAGGATATATTCAAGTATTCCGTTGAAGGTTCAGCTTCAAGGGTTCCCTTCAAGTAATTCCACTTGGGAATTACCATTTTATAGGATGGCCTATCCCATTCATAGCAGAAATGGAATTTTTATGAAGATATCTCCATAACAGAGCTGGGCAACAAAAATACCTTATGTGACTGCCTGACAGTGAGGGAGGAGTGAGATTGACGGAGAGAGGGAGGGAGAGAGGGAGGGAGGGAGAGAGGGAGGGAGAGAGGGAGGGAGAGAGAGAGGGAGGGAGAGAGAGAGGGAGGGAGAGAGGGAGGGAGAGAGGGAGGGAGAGAGGGAGAGAGGGAGGGAGAGGGAGAGAGAGGAGGGAGGGAGGAGAGAGGGAGGGAGAGAGGAGAGTGAGGGAGGGAGAGAGGGAGGGAGAGAGGGAAGAGAGGGAGGAGGGAGGGAGAGAGGGAAGGAGAGAGAGAGAGAGGGAGGGAGGGGAGAAGAGAGAGAGAGAGAGAGGGAGGGGAGAGGGAGGGAGGGAGAGAGGGAGGAAAGAGGAGGGAGGGAGAGAGAGAGGGAGGGAGAGAGGAGGGAGAGAGAGGAGGGAGAGAGAGAGGGAGGGAGAGAGGGAGGGAGAGAGGAGGGAGGAGAGAGGGAGGGAGAGAGGGAAGGAGGAGAGGGAGGGAGAGAGGGAGGGAGAGAGGGAAGGAGAGAGAGAGAGAGGGAGGGAGGGAGGGAGGAGGGAGGGAGGAGAGAGGGAGGGAAGGAGGAGGGAAGGAAAGAGAGAGGGAGGGAGGGAGAGAGGGAGGGAGAAGAGGGAGGGGGAGGGAGAGAGGGAAGGAAAGAGAGAGGGAAGGAAAGAGAGAGAGAGGGAGAGAGGGAGGGAGAGAGGGAGGGAGAGAGGGAGGGAGGGAGAGAGGGAAGGAGAGAGAGAGGGAAGGAAAAAGAGAGAGGGAGGAGAGAGAGAGAGGGAGGGAGAGAGGGAGGAGAGAGGGAGGGAGAAGGGGGGAGGGAGGGAGGAGAGAGGGAAGGAGAGAGAGGAGAGAGGAGGGAGGGAGGGGGCGGGCATGACGGAATACCTTATGTGACTGCCTGACAGTGGGGGAGGAGTGAGATTGACGGAGAGAGGGAGGGAGAGAGGGGGGGAGGGAGGGAGAGAGGGAGGGAGGGAGAGAGGGAAGGAGAGAGAGAGAGAGAGGGAGGGAGGGAGGGAGGAAGGGAGGGAGGGAGGGGGCGGGCATGACGGAATAAGTGAGAGGGATGGATAGCAAGAGGGAGTGAATGAGGAATGCTCACCTATATGTAGTCGCAAGGGTTGATTCTGAGCTCCTGGCCCCGCCTCTTCGTAGTTACTGCCTTATCATACTTCTTAAAGCTATGTATGGAACATGCCTCTACCATTCCA